TGACTTCCGGATGAAGACCCAGAACAACAGTGGGGAACCAAAGTCAAGGATGGGGACACAATTCTTGTCATAGACTTCGAAGAAGCCTTTCACATATAGGCAATAGGACACAAAGCCAATGAATTGGCTGCCAAAGCTAACAAGAGAAAGGAAATAAAGTTGTCTGAAGAAATCATTCCCAAACACTATAGGAACTTCATTGACGTTTTTGCCAAGGAAAACTTTGATGAACTTCCCCCTTGCAAACCTTGAGACCATGCCATTGAGCTAATCCCTAATGCCAATGCTAGTCTGGATTGCAAGGTATATCCCTTGAATCCAAAGGAACAAGAGGAATTGGACAAATTCCTCGATGAGAACTTGGCCACTGGTCGAATTTGACCCTCCAAATCCCCAATGGCATCTCCCTTTTTCTTCATCAAGAAAAAGGATGGAAAGCTGCAGCCAGTACAAGACTACCACAAGCTTAATGAAATGACTATCAAGAATCACTACCCCTTGCCGCTTATCTCAGACCTGATGGATAAGCTCAAGGATGTGAAGTATTTCACCAAGCTAGATGTCCGTTGAGGATATAATAATGTCCGAATCAAGGGCAGGAACGAATTCAAAGCAGCATTCCACACTAACTGAGGGCTCTATAAGCCTCTGGTTATGTTCTTTGGGCTCACCAATTTGCCTGCCACCTTCCAATGGATGATGAATGATATCTTTAAAGATCTCATTGCTCAAGGAAAGGTCACCATTTATTTGGATGACATCCTCATCTTCATGAAAGACAAGGTGGAACACTGAAGAATAGTGCAAGAAGTCCTAAAGATTCTGCAAAAGAACAAGCTGTTCTTGAAGGCAGAAAAATGTGAATTTGAGGTACTTGAAACAGAGTACCTTGGAGTCATCATCAGTGAAGGCTCCATCAAGATGGACCCAATCAAAATCACTGGTATTATGGACTGGCCAGAACCCTCCAAGAAACAGAAACTACAATCATTCCTGGAGTTCACCAACTTTTATCGCTGATTCATCTGGCACTATAGTGCAATCATCAAACCAATGACAAAACTCACTGGGAAGGTCCCCTGGACCTGGGGAAAAGAACAAAAAGAGGTGTTTGAGGAACTCAAATGCCAATTCACAACAGGAGTCATTCTGGCAATGCCAAATAACTACAACAAATTTCGCATGGAGGCAGATTCCAGCAAAGGAGCAATTGGCACTGTCCTGTCACAGGAACAGGAAGGGAAGTGGCATCTGATTGCATTCTTGTCAAAATCTCTTTCCACGATGGAATGGAATTATGAGATTTACAACAAAAAACTGCTGGCAATAATGATTGCTCTGGAAGAATGGCGACATTATCTTATGGGTGCCCATCAAGATTTTGAAATTTGGATGGATCACTCAAATCTACAATACTTCTGCAAACCTCAAAAACTCAACTGCAGACAAGCACGGTGGGTCACCAAGCTAGCGGAGTACCACTTTATGCTCAACCATAAACCAGGAGTGTCCAATAGGAAGGCCAACCTCTTGAGTCAGTGAGCCGACCATGACCAAGGCAAGAAGGACAATGATGACATTGTCCTCTTGAAACTGGAATTCTTCTGTGCCCTGATAATGTCAACTGAGGAGAAAATCCATGGCAAAATCAGGAGAGCAACAAGCGACCACCAATGATGGGACTAAGGAATCGCTTCAAGTCTCAATCATGAGAAGGGGGTCTTTGAAAAGGACCATCTACTATTTTATGATGGATGTATTTACGTCTCTCGCAATCACACGTTATGAGGAGAACTTATCTCCCACTATCACGACCATGTCTCTGCAGAGCACCCAGGTATTGACAAGACCAAGGAATTGGTCTTGAGATAATACTGGTGGCCCAGATTGCAGAGGGACATGGAAACCTATGTACAAGGATGTGAAGTGTGTCAAAGGATGAAAACCAATATGCAGCAGAAGGCAGCTCCACTGCATCCTAACGCTGTACCATCTTGACCTTGGGAACACATTTCAGTTGACATGATTACTGGATTTCCAGAATCCAAGGGCTACAACGCTATGCTAGTCATCATAGACTGATTCTCAAAATACATTATGCTGATTCCATGCACAAAGGAACTCTCATCGAGTGGGTGGGCTAAAATCCTACATGATGAGATTATTTGTTGATTTGGGGTCACCTCCTCTAAAGTTATCTCAGACTGGGGACCTCAGTTTGTCTCACAATTCCTCACTGAACTATATGTGATGATGAATATTCAAGGAAATCCATCAATGGCTTATCACCCACAGATAGATGGACAAACAGAGTGGGTTAACCAAAAACTTGAAAAATACCTTCGAGTCTTCGTTAACCACAAACAGGATGACTGGAGTGAATGGCTGCAGTGGGCAGCATTTGCTCATAACAACTGCCAACACTCTGCAATAGGCTTTTTCTCCATCAAACTCGTCTTTGGACAAGATGGAGAAATTCACCCAACCACGGTGAGGCCATCAAAAACACCATCAGTAACTGACTTTGTTGAAAGCCTCCAGAGAGTACATGAACAAGCAGAATACTCTCTGAATAAAGCCACCAAAGTTATGAGAAAGGCTTATGACAAACACACTTGTCCTGCACAGGAATACCAACCAGGCGATAAAGTCTTGTTGGACTCAACCAACCTTCACCTCCCATGACTGGCAAAAAAGCTGAACGATAAATGTGTTGGCCCATTTCAAATAATCTCAAAGAAGGGGCCCTCCACATATGAACTAAAGCTACTGCCAGGTTGGAGGATCCATAACAAATTCAACAAACGATACCTAACTCCATACATTCTCCCAGAGTTTCCCAACCAAGAAAAACCACTGCCACCTGAGCCAGAGCTCATGGACAGTGAAGAAGAATATGAAGTAGAGGAACTACTTCAGGATTGCGACCGAATTATTGGTCAAGGACACAACCAAAGGACTATAACAGAATATTTGGTCAAATGGAAAGGATATCCAGTGGAGGAGGCCACCTGGGTCAAGAGGAGCAACCTCGCCAATGCCGAAGAACTCGTCAAACACTACGAGAACAAGGAAGACTGCATAGAGGATCACAATTTGCGGCACTTGAAAAGTTGAAGGGGATGTATAACCACATCATCTCCTGGCTCTTTCACTGAGAGCTCAACACTCTTCCCAATCTCTGACGAGCAGGGCTTTTATTCATCAGAAATGGATGGATGAGACTCTGAAGATGAGCGCTCCATGTCCCCTCTTACGACTCAAACCGACCCTAGCTTCCTACCACAAGAACAGGGCATGTCTGCTTGGAGACAAACCAGAGACTATGGATAGGATACAGAATCTACTCATTCCCTTCACACAGGGAGCAAGTATGCCTAATGACTGTTGGGACAACAGTCTTAGTTGGGGGGTATTATTATGGTTTTACCCCTATTTTCCTTATCTTATCTTATCCTTATCTTCTGGAAACCTGGACTGACCTATCTTATCTCTCAGACCCAGGATATTCCACCAGCATACCTCCTACCTGTTTACCCAGTTGCTGTCACCCCAATTCACAGCTGCCGTATTCCAGATAACCAACATTCTGCATGTACCATCATACTTCTTATGATGATATCATGCTTCTTAGTGGTTAGACAAGAGTCGACTGCTAGTCAAGGGCAGTCTATGGGATATGGTCTATTCAGATGGAGTCCCGCATCAATACAGGTGATACATGCTCTTTACTCTCATTCATTGGAGGCCCACTTCTTTTAGTGTCTTCACTCCTCATTTGCTGTAGAGTGCCCTTCTCATTGCACATGCCCCCATAGATACTATTCTTAGTATGAGTCTGATATGTATTTAAGCTAGCCTATGCTGTGGCCTTAGACCCCAGCTTCAGCTAAGGTTATACACTCCTAACTCTTACAAGCTCCTTGCTCTCACTATCTAAGTGATGCCCTAACTTCTTGCAATCTGCCAAAGACCCTCTAATACTAAATCACCAAACATGAGTGTCAGGATAGAGATCATGCTTTGGTTCAGATTAGAGTTAGTGCTTAACAGGAAGGACCTTGCCTGTATCGTCAGAACATGCACTGTTGCTGGAGGCCTGGAGCTAAAGAGAATACTGTATAGCACAAACAATGAGGAACAATATGCTCACTGCTTTGAGAAGCTTGTTTAGCTGAGTCAAATCATTCCCACAATTGACTAACAATTTACAAGCATTGACAAAGTCTTGGTCCTTCGATGTGATGAATGTATTGAAACATTGTTGAGAGTGTTGATCAATATCTACTACACTGAATGAAGCTATTAGAAGTGGAAAAATGGGCATATATGCATGACATATGGATTATCATCAACATCTTCAACCTCTGTTAGCTTGTTCTCATTTTTTTCAACAGAGTCAGATGCAGCAGTATCTTCCTCTCCCTCTTCCTCTCCTTCCTTGTCACTCTCTACAGACTCTCTGACCTTCATACCAACTACGATAGCATTCTTGACATTGATAAAGGGATCAAATGATCTTGCAAACTAGTGGCCTGCTTGCTTGATAATCTCATCCTCTGTTGGCCTGCATAAAACAATAAGTGAGCTTCTTAGAATTTGTAGATAATATATACCTCTTGTCTTTTTTCTTCCTTGATGAAGATTTAGCATTATGAGGTTGCCTAGATTCACCCTTTTTTGCAGGTTGATGAGAATGAGATCCTGTTTGTCGAATAGAGGAATGATGGCTGCAACTACAAGGCATTGAGGGAGAGGAAAAGTGAGGGGCAATGGCAGAGAAAGGATAAAAGAAGGAACATAGATGATGGAAGGAGGGGAAAAGAGCAAATAAATGGGCTTCATTTTTGTGATGCATCATGATCATATGATCTTCTTGGACTCATGTCACTTGCATGTGCTTGCTGCCAGTAACACCACCACTACCACCACCTGTTATATATATATCTGTTCATCCTTCACTCACTCTATTTCTCTGAACAGCATACAGTGTAAGCACAATGGTGCCCTTCAAATATCCTACCTGCAAGACAACACTTGGTAATAATGACTCTCGGTCTATCATCCAGTATGACCACCAATGCAAGAGCAAAAAGAAGTCCAACAGCATATTACTTCAAGGCATCAAAGGGCTCTGCCATAAACTAGAAGAGACTAGAAAGAAAAGAGAAAAGAGAACAGAGAGGCAGAAGGAAGTGAGCATGGCTGCTGTTTTTCTGGCACCTTCTTTTACTCAATTTCATGCTCTTCCAGGTTCAAGATGTGACACTGCACATGCCAGTAGATATATCTTCAGTACCAGATGAAATACCAGATGAATCTCTTCCAGATTTATCCAGAATGCACCCAAGATGTACCCTCAGAGTCCCTCAACACCTTTGCAATCTTATACCAACCAATACTGGTCCCATTTGCATGACACAATACTCTCAACTCAACCTCTCATCTAGACCTATGTGACCTTGGACACCTACTCCTTCTCCAGTTGTACCTGAATGCACCTCTTCTCCATCTCTACAATGACCACCCTCCTCTACTATACAAATAACAAAACCTGATGAATTTGGCATTTATCAAGAGTACACAGAGCACCCAACATATATTCCCAAGAACATACACTGCAAGAATATGGAGTCAGTGGAGGATCATTGTCCTGCACATTCAGTTTTCAGCCTCAGGTCACAGCCTTCTTCTTTTGCCCCCTTCACCAATTCTACTGTCCTTTGACTCCTAAAGTGGCTTTACGATTCCAATAAGAAAACACTAAAAGATCTTGATCACCTGGTGTATGATGCAATCCTTCAGCCAGATTTCTCAGTCAGCCATTGCAAGGGCTTCAGCACTGCAAAGGAGGCTCATCAGCTCAACAAACCTGATGTCTTTCAGTCTGATGTATGGAAGGAAGACAGCATTGAAATCTTGCTTCCACAGAAAGATTATGCTTGGAGTTCAGAAGCAGAGGCACACATTGCAAAGATTGATGGTGTATGGCACTGCTTACTTACTGAGATCCTAATGAGTGCTTTTCAAGACCCATCAGCATCCAACTTCTATCTCAAAGGATATAAGGACTTCTAGAAACCATCAGATGAATCACAAGCTGAGAGGATATATGCTGAGGTCTACACATCTCCCAAATATCTGGTGATGGAGGAGAAAGTTCAGGTGGCTCAAGCGATGGTCGATGCACAAATGGAAACAGCCAGTGTCATGAGCTCTATTGATAAAGCAGCTGCACAACCATCCTTTCCATCTCCTTCCTCGAGTCAGATGTCTGTCTATTTGTGTTCTAGCTCTTCTCATGACTCAGTGATGAGCCTCAAGGCTCTGTACACTCAGAATTCATGGATTTAGCATTATAATGAGTGCCTTGTCCACTTAGCAGACTTTCCCTAAGTCAACGATTGCAATCACAGCAATACCCACTTTTACTGCCAAATATCCTTCCCAACTTGTATTCTGCATCAATATATGCCACTTCCTTATTGCTACCAGGCACCTGATTGCAGATCTCATGGAATTAGGACCATCATTGATTGCTCAGCACAGCCATCACTGACATCAGCATCAAGCATCACTTAATAGAATGCCGCAGCCAAAATACCTATTCTATGGCAAAAGACTTAATACCATGATCTTTCCACCAGCTTTACTAAGGCTGTTACAATGCCAAGACAATGCTGCATGCATCTACTTCAGTGTACTACCTTCAGTGTACTTTGCTGCAGCAACACAGCAGCCCAAGAGTCCGTATGTTGGCAGAATTCTTTCTGATCACCAAGTCTATACATGGTAAAACCATGTGGGTGCTGTTACTTTAGAACTCTGGGAGCACACATTTTATATCATTTCTTACCAATTGATGTACTAAGAACTTACTAAGGACTCGTTTCAAGTATTCTAATTTTATTCTGGACTTGTAGTATAAAAGCTAGTGTAGTAGTAGTTGTTAGAGACACAAGTTACTGGACACTAGTTATCGCACACATTATCGACCACCGTCACCGCTTGTACTCACTAGGAGACAGACAATAAAACCCTGTCACTCCGAGTTATACTCTGTCATGGCTTTTTCTTCTAACGGTATTGGTGTACACTCATATTGTGCCAATACATGGAATTTTGTGTCCACAACTCACTTTTATCTTTTATTCTGCCAGCATCGTTTCACTTTCACTAGCCAGCATCGTTTTACCAGCTTTCACTTTCTACATTGCCATCATTTCACCCCAGTTCAGCTCAGTGCTCAGTACAGTTACATCTCCATGTGGACACAGATTAGGATCGTCAGTCACGGCATTTGGTATCTTGCTGTCAGCTTCAGTATAGGACCATCAGTCACAGTATTTGTTATCTTGCCATCAGTTTCAGTATAGAATAGTCTCTGTGTAGACTCAGGATCAGTATAAGTTTTGTTTTGCCATCGTTAACCTCAGTATAGTTTCAGTATCAACCTCGCCCAGTCTCAGTCATTGTTTGTTGCTGCTAGTCTCTCATCATATTTTCGCCAGCCAGTCTCTCTTTGCTTTACTGCCAGTTTCTCGACTAGAGTCTTCATCTATTGCCATCCTGGTATTTGTTATCTTGCCAAACAGTATTTCTCTTTGACAGCATTTCCATTAATTCCACCAATTCTGCCCACAGCTTTTACTAGTTAATTGCCATCACTTTGTTCACGGCTTGCCGGTATTTCCAGTTATACTGGATTCTGTTCCTTCTCACCTATCAAGACCCTTCCTGGCTTACAGCCAACATTTTCTAGTACTCAATCGTTAAGGGTACTACTTTGCTGACTGAAAAGTCACAGTGTATACTTGTGTTCTTGAGGAATTCATCACACGGAGGTGCACTGAAACACTCACACAACAACAAAGCCTTTATTGCCACTACACGCCATTTGCCGTGAACTCCTCTAGAGTTTTGGTTTTTGCCGTTGCCACAGAAGTTTAGGCTCATCATTGGACAACTCTTTCTCTACTGACAACACTGGTATGCAGCCTCTTAATCCATCTCCTTCACCACTGACTCCTCCCAAACCCCCACCCAGCATTGCAATTGAAAATGTCATTGTTCCTATGATGCTTTATACAGACTCTACACATCTTATGAACTTTGAAAGCACATCCTTGTGGCTGGGTTATATTTTTTTTGGGCTGTTGTCAAAGTATATTAGTGCATTGGCTTTTGCACATTCTGCACATAATTTTGTCTACATGCTCGAAGTAAGTGCCATTATATGCCATGTAATAGATCCCTATCATTAATTTAACCTTAAATAACAGCTACCAGACAATATCCAAGATATCTATGAAGCCAAATTTGGAGAGCCTGCCTCGGATGCAGTTTTGACACACCTGAAATGAGAGCTAGTACAAGCTGTGTGGCAATTACTTCTTGATGAGGAATTTATGGATGCATACCGACATGGTCTCATTGTCAAGTGCTGGGATGGAATTTTCTGATGACTGTTTCCCTGTTTCTTTGCATATTCAGCTGATTACCCCAAGAAGTACATTTCCATCTTTTAATATGTATTGCTTACACTGACATTCATTCTAGGATGCTAATGGCATGCCTACAAGCTATGGGAACTTGTCTCTGTCCTCGTTGCCTCATCTGAAAGTCCAAGGTTCATCAAATGAGCACCATAAATGATACACAGCAAAGGGTGACAAGAGCCTGTCAAGATAATCACTCAAGACACTGGCAAATCAAAGAGGCACAAAAGAAAATCTTCCTTAGAGGATGAGCGATCAATAGTGCTCATGTAGAGACATTCCTGAAGGACAAGTCCTTGATTCCAACAAGGGTATGCATGTTTCACCATATATTAATGTTGTTTTTATGCCTAATGAGGTTATAGAATGCATTCTCAGAGTTCTTCCTGGAAGCAGATATTGACTTCAACTTTTACATGCTTTTTGTCATTGATTTAATGCATGAATTTGAGCTCGGTGTCTTCAAAGCCCTTTTCATTCACCTCATATAAATTTGTTACATGATTGGATCACATGCTGTCCAGATACTCAACAAATGGTTCACATTTTATTTATTCTCTTATGTATTTGATCCATTATTGACTGTATTACTAGTTTCTGTCGAGTCCCAAAGTTTGGACATTACACAATTTGGAAATTCACAAAGGATGCCTCTGCATTAAAACAGATGGCAGCATGTGACTTTGAAGATCTTTTGCAGGTGTGCAGCTTTAACAATATTATGTTTATGTTCTAACATCAATCAGTGTTCTCTTCCTTGCTTTGAAGGCCTTTTGCCAACTGCAGCTGACAACAAAATTGTTCAAGATCTTCTTTTTATACTCAGTACTTGGCACAGATTTGCAAAGCTGCAAATACATACTGATACGATGCTCAATATATTCAGTGGTGTAATGAAAGAAGCTGGCTGATTGCTTCACCACTTTTCAAACACTGTCTGCAGCAACTTCAGCACTGAGGAAACACCTACTGAGGCAGCCACCCATGTTCAATGAGAGGAGAGGGAGTTCATCAAGGTGAAGAAGGCAGGGAAAGCACTATCTGAGAAGACAAAGAAATGAAACAAGACCAAAAATAAATTCAATCTCTCAATGTACAAGTCACATGCACTTGGCAACTATCCATGGATGGTCTGGAGGTTTGGGCCTATTGACTTATACAGTACACAAAGGGTAAGTGCTTCCTTTCTTCTGGTGTTTATTCTAATTATGCCTTCAGGGTGAGACAGAGCACCAGCAGGCAAAAGTACTTTATGGATGCATGAACAAGCATAGATTTGTAAAGCAAATTGCAATACATGAGTCATGGCAGTGCTGGCTATGTTCTATTCATCAGCAGCAACTCTTAGAAAGAAGATTGCACTGGTTGGATCCTTTGCCATATAGTGATCCCAGTCAATATTACCATATCTCTGACTCAACTTGGTGCCCTGTGGACCTGGCTCAATTTGTTCATGATAATAAGAAAGACCCTGTGGTACAGGTATGTTTATTTTAACTGTGCTATTTGTAATTTGCTGATATGAATCTTTGTCAGAGCTTCATTTCTAATCTGAAGAATCATCTTTTAATGCAAATATGGCCAGAAGCATCAATCTGTTCCAAATTCACTGCTGCTGATCACCAAACCCTCATCATCCTTGGAGAACAGATGTACGAACACAAGTTTTACAAATCAACTATACATCATATGACATTTATTGTGAGCAAGACATCATTAATCCTCATACAGGCTCTGATATCATGATGCTTGCACCAGAGAATGAGCATGATGCTCACCTTTATTGGTATGCAAGAGTAATCAGCATTTATCATGTTCTAGTTTGCGATAAGAATGACATGGATGGGGCTGGCACATCAAGACAGATTGACTTTCTATGGGTTAGATGGTATAGAATTGATGATAACTACAGGTCAGGCTTCCAGGCCAAATGGCTGCACCAAGTGGGCTTTCTCAATGCAGAAGAAGATGGTGCCTTCAGATTTGTTGATCTGAATGATGTGCTATGTTCAGTACATCTGATCCTGACATTTGTACTGGGTATCACAGACATGTTCCTGCAGGGGTGGTCCATTGCACATCATGCAGATGAGAATGATAAAGATTTTGAGAGATACTATGTCAATTTGTATGTGATCTGCCTCTATTGTTTCTAATGCTAACTTGGTTTTCAAGCCTTGTTGACCATGACATGCTCATTCAGTACATTGGTGGTGCTGTTGACCATAAAATGACATTTGAGGCAACTAAGGACCTACTGGCATTGGCAAAGGAAGTATATGGAGTTATAGACGATGCTGATGTTGAGGAGCACCTTGCCCAAGAGGCTATCAACAACTCAGAAGTGAATGACTCTGACATGTCAGATCCAAACATAGAGTTGGACAACATGAACAAAAGCAACAAAGACTTAGATGATGAAGAGAACAATGAAGAGGGCAAAAGTGAAGAGAATGATAATGATGAGAATGGTGAAGAGGACAGGGAGAATGAAAGTGAAGACTGTGAGAGGAAGATGGGAGTGATGATGACTTGAGGGAGGATCTGCATGAAGGTCTTGGTTTTGCCATGTACTAAACATCCTGTATTGATTTGAAAAAAATTCACCTGGCATTACAAGTATTTACTGTGGGATTACCATTCCATTAGATACATGGCAGTATATTGCCTCACAGGTAACAGCTTTCCTTACCATGATCTTGCAGGGACATAGCTGACCAGGCTATTACCGGTAAGGTACAAGTCTGGTCTGTATTTATAGATTGATCACCTGGCCTTTATAAACATGACAAGGATAACCTACACTGACCATGACTTGGCTACTTTTGACACTTTTAGTGATGTGGCTGTTTATCTCTAGCCTTTTCAGACATTAGAACAGGCATGTCGATGTAGTCTTATAGAAACAAGAATATAAGCCAATGGATGGAGAAAGACAAGATGGTGACATGCACCAGGGTTGTTGGGATCAACACTCTCAGTAGCATCAGCAGCCAGCTGCTTCCCTCGAGACTTTGTGGTATGAATTCCGGGTTCGACAATCTCAGTAGCAGAGCTGTAGCCCTCAAAATTAGGCTTTGTGCCAGGGGGGTGGCTAGCTCTGTTAAGCACTAACTCTAATCTGAACCAAAGCATGATCTCTGTGCTGACACTTACATTTGGTGATTCAGCATTGGAGGGTCTTTGGCAGATTGCAGGAAGTTAGGGCATCACTTAGATAGTGAGAGCAAGGAGCTTGTAAGAGTTAGGAGTGTATAACCTTAGCTGAAGCTGGGGTCTAAGGCCACAGCATAGGCTAGCTTAAATACATGTCAGACTCATACTAAGAATAGTGTCTACCAGGGCATGTGCAATGAGAAGTGCACTTTGCAATGAATAAGGAGTGAGGGCACTAAAAGAAGTGTGTCCCCAACAAATGAGAGTAAAGAGTGCATATCACCTGCATCAATGTGAGACTCCATCTGAATAGACCATATCCCGTAGACTGCCCTCGACTAGCAGTCGACTCTTGTCCAACCACTAAGAAGTGTAATGCCATCATGAGAAGCATGATAGTGCATGCCGAATGTTAGTCATCTGGAACACAGCAGCTGTGAACCAGGTAAATGGGTAGGAGGTATAGTGGTGGAATATCATGGGTCTGAGAGATAAGATAAGTAGGTCCAGGGTTCTGGGAGATAAGAATAAAATAAGATAAGAAAAATAGGGATAAAACCATAATATAAAGACTGTAGTCAAGAGACTGGCTGGCAGAAATATAAAGAGAAAGCTAGTGGCAGCAAAATGATGACTGATACTGGGTGAGGCTGAGACTAAAGCTGAGGTTAACTGTGGTAAAACAAAACTTTACTGATTCTGAGTCTACATGGAGACTATCCTATACTGAAGCTGATGGCAAGATAACAAATACCAAGACTGGTGATCCTATACTGAAGCTGACAGCAAGATACTGTTGTATTTTGGACTGTATCCTAGTACAATGCTTGTAAGACCTCTAGTCTCTGGGTTACAAACTCGTGAGGAGTTTGCCCATTTACTTCGCATATTTATACTAAACTACACCTATTCTAGTAATTTCTATACAATCATTCTCTTACCAATCTCTTACTCAACATGTTGGAATGCCGGATTGCCAGAATTATCTCGCATTTTCCAACAGATACCAAATGCTGTGACTGACAATCTTATACTGTTAACCGAAATTCCATGGCAGACACTGCTGGCAGCAATAATGATCCTAATCTGGGTCCACACGGGGACGTAACTGTACTGAGCTGAGCTGGGGTAAAACAATGGCAACGTAGAAAGTGAAAGCTGGTAAAATGATGCTGGCTGGTGAAAGTGAAATGATGCTGGCAGAATAAAAAATAAAAGCGAGTTGTGGACATGAAATTCCATGTATTGGTGCAATACAAGCATACCCCAATACTGTTTAGAAGAAAAGCCATGACAGAGAGTATAACTCGGAGTGACTAGGTTTTATTGTCTGTCTCCTAGTGAGTACAAGTGATGATGGTGGTTGATAATGATTGTGATAACTTCTGTCTGGTAACTTCTGTCCTTGCAACTACCTATTTTCCATGGTGTATACTAGCTTTTATACTACAAGTCCAGAATAAATTTAGAATACTTGAAGCGAGTCCTTAGTAAGTCTGTAGTACATAGATTGGTAAGAAATGATACAAAACACATGATTTCAAGGTTCTAAGTAACAGCACCCATATAGATTTACCGCATATAGATGAAGTGATTAGCAAGAATGCCACCAATCTCCAGAATTTTGAGCTGCTGTGTTACTGCAGCAAAGTACATTGAAGGTAGTGCACTGAAGTAGATGTGTGCAGCATTGTCTTGGCATTGTAACAGCCTTAGTAAAGCTGGTGGAAAGGTCACGGTATTAAATCTTTTGCCATGGAATAGGTATTTTGGCTGTGGCATTCTATTAAGTGATGCTTGATGCTGATGTCAGTGATGGCTGTGCTGAGCAATCAATGATGGTCCTAATTCCATGAGATCTGCAATCAGGTGCCTGGCAGCATTAATGAAGTGGCACATATTGATGTGGAATACAAGTTGGGAAGGATATTTGGCGGTAAAAGTGGGTATTGCTGTGATTGCAATTGTTGACTTAGTGAAAGTCTGCTAAGTAGACAAGGCATTTATTATAATGCTAAAATCCATGAATTCTGAGCGTACAGAGCCTTGAGGCTCATCAGTGTTTGAGGGTATGACTCACAAGACAAATAGCATGTGGCAACTTGAGAAGACTAATACTCTTGATGTATACCTTGTCACTGATGACAAACTCAAGATTCTCATTGAGTTTAGCTGCCTTCTCCATGTCAGCATCACTCCCATCCCTGCCTCTTACCTCATTTTCTGTGAAATCATTAACCAAGCTGGTTTTTGAATCAATGCTTGTCCCTTACCTAGCGACAGCAGCACCCACAAAGCTCACAGTGACAACCTGAAAATCAAATACTTCTTCCCTGTTGGGATTTGGCAATCCAGCATCATGCCAAAGTTACTTATTAAGGTAGAAGTCTGAGGAAAAGCATGGAAAGTTCTAGTAAAAGTGCATTTAGTATAAAAGTAGGTACTTTAGTGTAGATCCTCATGCATTTGCAGAGCTCAGCCAAGCGCAATACTATTGGCTTGCTACCATGCATGTGACACTGGAAACGAACTGATGCCCCATTTTCCAACATTCCCTCTCAGCGATCCTTTCCTCAGTGATACAGTAGAGGATCACCTCCTCATCACCACCACCGATGTCACTGTCTGGACCCTGGAAGAGTTGGGACTGTTGAAGACAATGGCCAAAACAAAGGTTGATATCCACAACCTATACAAGACCACCAAGTTGAGGGCACACTTTGAAGAGGAACATGATGAGCATAGAGCCTTGCAG